GGCTATTGTATATGACCTTTTGGACGCTTCTGCTGATTGTATATGTTGATATGTGAATTATAATCGCTGCTATTTTTTTCTCTGTAATGTAATTATCTATTGTTCAGAGTGATGGTGAAATAGATTGTGATATTATCAGCATAATTCAAGTTGGATGGTTGAAGTGGCGGAATGCATCGGGCTTGTTATGTGATAGAAATGTACCCCTCAAACTTAAGGGAAAATTCTATAAGATTGTAGTGAGGCCTGCAATGCTTTATGGTGCTGAATGTTGGCCATTAAAAGAGAAGCATAATACTAAGTTAAGTGTGGCAGAGATGAGGATGCTCAGGTGGATGAGTGGCTTTACCCTTAGAGATAGGATACAAAATGAGCATATACGTGAAAAGGTTGGAGTAGCTCCAGTAGAAGATAAGATTAGAGAGAGTCGCCTTAGATGGTTTGGTCACATAAAACGGCGGCCTTCCAATGACCCGGTTAGGAGAGTAGAGGTATTAGATTTGACTTATGTTAATAAAGGTAGAGACAGACCTAAAAAGACTTGGTTAGAAAATATTAGGAATGACCTTTCTTTATTAGATTTAAACGAGAATTTGACCTTTAATAGGACACAATGGAGAAAAAGGATTCATGTAGCCGACCCACGTAGTGGGATAAAGACTTTATGTTGTTGGTTTTCCTGTATCCTTTAGCTGTTTGAATTATTCATTTCACACCAAGTCAATCATCAATTTCATTATGGTCTACTGCAAACTGGTGTATGGGATCTATTGATAACTTGGGGCAGTTGGTATTACATAATTGATTGCATCATAGTTCCTTGAATCAAGATATTTTTTTCTTTTACCTGCAATTTATTATTGAACCTTTCTAGTCTGCTAGTCTGCCAAGATTGCTTCAATTTGATTTTTCATGGGGTTCTAAACAAAAAAAATTGTATTTAGGTTGAATTAATTCTTGCACCTCTTGGTATAACTTCCATGGAAAACTAAGGAAGATTACTTTTGTAGCTTCCTAAGGCGGCATGTGCGAGCTGCTTCAATCTAAAATGGATCGAACATGTCTAGTATACCTTCTTCTTATAGGATCAGTTGATTAATATTTCATTGTTTGGCTGTGTAGGGTGTAGTATAAATTTGCCCAATGTTGTATTATTGCTATGCATTGTTGGAAAAATCCAATATTAGTTGCTGAAGGAGATCAATTTGGTTATCTTACAACAGGAGGCCTTTGTTTGATTCTGTTGGCACATGTGGAAACTGGGTTAAATTAGAACTTTTGATGACATTTTTTGTTATCATTTTTTATGTCTGTACGTTGCACAATCATGCAGCCTAGTTAATAATCACTAGAAAAGATCTGCTCCATGGTAATCCGTACTGAAATTTTTGTAGGATGAATCATCATTGATTTGGTTTTCTAGCAGCAGAGAGAGGACTTTGAAGTTAACTTCTTCGTCAAGAGCTGTACCTAGACAAAAAAAAAGTAAGATCTCATCCACAACAAGGTTCCTCTAAAATTATGCTGTTTATTTTTCAAAATTTATAGTTGAATATAAGTCCTTTCTCTCTGCAAATTTTTTTGTTCATTTTTATTTGGTTTTCAGCCTGTTTTCCACACATACATGCAACTTTATAAAGATTATTTGTCATTTTCTTTAATATAAAGCAACTTTTAAAGGACACTTGATCTTTTTTGCGCACTTAAGTTTGTTCTGTGTCCCTTTATAGGATCTCTGTGCTTCTGACGATCATCTTATTATTAACTTTCGATGTGCAAAGATTGAAGCTGGGGTGTGGTTTACTGGCCTTAGGACTCTTGCTTTGTGTGAATAATATGGACGCTTAAAGATTGATGGGATTTACCTTGATGTAACTTTATCACAACCGTAGGACCAATTCTACTTAATTGCTAACAAAAGTTTTCGTTGCTGTGTAATTGGATTCTAGATGATGTATATTAGGATTTACTCTTATTAAAATTTGAGGGTTAAATTTTAAAATAGTTCCCCGACTATTCGTATATGGCCATTTTAGTCCTAGAGTATAATGTTGCTTCAATTTAATCATTTGACTATACAAAATTGTTTCAAAATGGTTTCTTAGAGACTAAATTAGGATCAATTTTATATCACAATTACAACATGAGAGACTATTTTGAATCAATTTTGTATAGTCGAGGATTAAATTGGAGCAACATAATACTATGGGGCTAGCTTGTCCATACATGAATAGTTTGGGGACTATTTTGAAATTCTTCTGAAATTTTCACCTCATGAAAGATAAGGGGGAGGAAGAAGAATGGAAAAAAAAGGACCTCATGAAAGATAAGGGGGAGGAAGAAGAATGGAAAAAAAGGAAAAATAATGTAAGTAGAAAGCTCATGGATAAACACCATCTTCTTAGTAGTCTCAGATTAGCATTTTGGTCCACCTTTGTCCAACCTTCTTAACACTCCCATCTTAAGTGCTCAATGATGTTTTAATTCTTAATTTAAGGGTGTTTTGGTTGAGGAAAAATGGTCAAGCAAAGGAACACAGACAACTTGTAACGCTTATAATCCTTAGAAATTGTGGATGCAATTAAAGATGTGCATTTACAATTTCCTTTTCTACTCCATTGCAAAGTTAATGAGGCCTACTTGCCCACATTTATGGATTTCTTGACGTGATAGAGGATACGACTTAAATGAACTAAAGCTCTCATTTGCATTTATTATGTTATGAAACTATACGAAATAAATTCACCATACTCACATTTAATTGCTTTGTTAAAATTCTAGGTTTTATGATTGCATGCATTTTTAATCGGCTCTTACTATTTGAGCTTAATAATGCTTATATTGAGAGGTTTGATGGAGTAGTATAGAGAGAATGAGGAGGATATACATATGATATTTTTTGATTTAGATAAAACATATGATAAAGTTTCAAGAGATGTGGTATGGAGAGTTCTAGAAAAGAAAGGGTTTAATAATGCTTCTATTCAAGTTATTAAGTATATGCATGTTGGAGTTGTTCCTTATGTTCAAACACAACATGGTTTGACCAAGTATTTTCCTATTTTAGTTGGATTACATCAAGGATCAGCTTTAAGCCCATATCATTTTGCTTTAGTCATGGATGTTCTCACTAGATATTTGCAAGAGTTTGTACCCTGATGTATTTGCTGATGATATTCTTCTTGTTGATAAGACTAGCGAGGGAGTTGAAGATAAACTTGAATTATGGAGGACAACTTTAGAGTCTAAAGGTTTTCATTTTAGTAAATCTAAAATTGAATATATAGAGTATAATTTTAGTAGCAATAAACCTAGTGAGGAGATTGTGACTTTGGGGGATCAAGTCATTAATAAGAGTATATGTTTTAGATATCTTGGATCTATTGTTCAGACTGATGGTGAAATAGATGGGGATATTATTAGTAGAAGTCAAGTTGGATGGTTGAAGTGGAGAAATGCATTGGGCTTGTTGTGTGATAGAACAGTCCTCGTCAAACTTTAGGGAAAATTATATAAGATATTGGTGAGACCTGCAATACTTTATGGTGAAGAATGTTGACCATTAAAAGAGAAGCATAATATTAAGTTAAATGTTGCAAAGATGTGGATGCTTAGGTGGATGCGTGGCTTTACTCTTAGAGATGGAACAAAACAAGCATATATGTGAATAGGTTGGAGTAGCTCTAGGAAGATAAGATTAGAGAGAGTCGTCTTAGATGGTTGGTCACATAAAATGACAGCCTTTCGATGACCAAGTTAGGAGAGTAGATGCATTAGATTTTGCTTATGTTAAGAAATGTAGCGGTAGACTTAAAAAGATTTAATTAAAAAATATTAGAATGGCCTTTCTTTATTAGATTAAAATGATAATTTGACTCTTAACAAAATACAATGGAGAAAAAAGATTCATTTAGTGGGATAAAGGCTTTATAATGTTGTTGGTGTTGCATCTATTTGAGCTACCTCTAACTAAATAATATTTGCTTTGTATATCTTTCATCCTAATTATTTATTTATTTAATAATTTAATTTCATAATTTAATAATTTAATCTATTTTTTATGTGGGATCATACATGATCTTATTAATATGAACTTTAGAAGATACTTATCTGTTAATCAAACATTGAGTATATAATAACCAGTTATGTACTTTTATTAGATGTGAAATTGATAATTATCATTCAATATTATTGAAAGATCAAATGACATATTTAAGTATCTTGAATCTATTATACAAAAGATATTGATATAGAAAATAATATAACTTTTCGACTTAAATTTGGGTGTCAAAATAGAGAAGTGCATTTGGGTACTATGCAATAAAAGAATAGCATGCATAATATATATATATATATATATATATATGCGTTTATAATTAGATTGACTATATTTTATGTATTGAAAATTGGAAAGTCATTGATAGCCAACTTAAATGGGGTAAAAATGAGAATTTTAGGAGATGTGGCCATACTAGGAAATATATCTTGGTAAAATGATGTACCCAGTGTAGGTATCGTGCAGGTTTGAAAATAAGTTTAATACATTGAATCTTACACTTGCGTTTTCAAAGAGTTTGTTTCCGTGAAGACTCAAACCTGAGAGCTCCATGTTACATCCATGGCATTTTAAGAATTGCTTTGAGCTGAATCTTTAAGCATAGATGGATAGATGATATATGCTTGATTTGGGAGGGTTTATACTTTTTAATTTTTACTGTCAAAAACTATTTTCTTAAATCACAATTTCAACATGATTCCCTTAAAGCAGTTTTTCTATGTCAAGTTTGAAAAAGTTGTGTAAAAAGCATCTTCCTACTGTACATTTTTTGGTTGTTTTTCTTATCACAAAAGGAACAAAAAACTTTCCCAAATGAAGCCATATTGGTAGTTGTAGCTCATATTAAAATAATGTATTAGAAAGTGGACTTAGGTGATTTAGGCATGTACAATGAAGGTAGAAGATGCAACAATAATAAAGATATATAAATATAATGTGGAAGGACTAGGCAGGAGAATCAATAGACTTATGGTAACTAGGCTAGAAGTGTGTAAAAATAGAGGTCAGGAATTGATAGAGCCAAATCCCAAATAGTTGGGATAAGGCTGAATGACATGTTTTTTTATTTTTAGGACTTTGATTTACTTTTGATACCATGCTTTGTAGGAAGCACATGTTAGCAAGCTTAGCGTGACACCATAGATAGTAATTATTTATAAAATTTTGTAACCACTAATTAATAAAGCACCTAGGGGAAAAAATAGTTAAAGTTTCAATATTAGTTTGGCATGGCTGTAATAACTAATTTTCCTGTGTAACATACTTGTTTGAATAGAATGAATGTTTTATGGACATCAAATTTTATATTTAGCAGAAATTCAATGTTTTAATTTTCAAAACTTTCTAACGAGGGCTTAAAATCATTATTTTCATACTTTTTGTTGCTTTACAGTCAATGCAAGGTCAAATTATCATAATATAAAAAAAATCATGGCTATTTTCAATAGTGTAGTTCAAGAGAAGGGTTTTGTGTTAAAGGAGAAAAATGCCGTCTCTTATTCATTGGAGATCCCATCGCTCTCCTTATAATCATACAATGATTGCAATATTTTAGGGTACACCTAAATGAATTTTTTCTTAGCTAATGCCTAATAGCATCATTGCAGTATGAATTGTTAGACTAGTAAAAGGAAAATAAATTAATTTATCAAATTATCTTTGCTATCAAGGCGAATCATCAAGGTGCTCTTTATTATCAGAAGTAGTCTAAGTCTTCATATGGTATTAATGAGTTTGTAACTTAAGGGTGAATTTATTCACGAAGCTCAAATGCATATTTCCTCTTAAAAAAGAATACCCCTTTTTTATAACTTGAAATAGTACTTTGGTCATCCCAAGTTTTTAGTGACAACACACTTTTGCAAGTATTTTACCTCAATGATTCCTTTTACATTGCTCCCACATCATCAAGATAAACAATTTATATGACAAAGCCAAATGTGTACGCTCGATAAACAAAGAATGATCTATTGTGCTATTGCGAAGGTCAATATTGGCATAACTTTGTTGAACTTTGTTGGAGAAATTTTGTCATCCTCAATGGATTGCATATTTTGTAATCTAGCACGACATAAGAAAGATGATATATGACAAAAATATCATTTCCTTATAGACTCAATAATAAAATTTATAATTTAAACATAGATTCCCCCATTCAATATTTAGTTGAATGGAGTTTATTTTATTCCGGGATATGAATGCTCCTGTGGTTAATTACATCGCAAACATTTGATACTTGAGATAATTTTTGATTAAATTAGTGGTTTTCTTTTTGTAATTAACCCTACGTCCACTCCCTGAAGGCTCCCTCTTCAGGTATTCCACTATTACCAAAGTGAATCTCCTTTTGCTCCCACAGGAAGGCGGAGAAGCCTTTACAAATCACATCTCTTCCATCAATCCCCGAGGCGACAAAGTACAATCATCCTTTCACACTCTCTAAGTGTCGGCAGAGAACCGTCGTATTTTCATACCCTCATGGTGTCATCAGAGAACCGTCGTCCTTTCCCACCCTCATGGTGTTGGCAGAGAACCGGATCTTCTCCAAAGATCTTCTCTCAAGCAACTTCAAAGAAGTAAGGAAGAGATTCGACAATAATTACAAAGAGATCCTCACCTTTGAGCAACCTTGTGAACCCATCACAAATTTCACTTGCAAGATGTCTTTCCACACTCTCAAACACTCTCCCTAAGCACTCTCACATTTGCTCTCAAAGAAAAAAAAGAAGAAGCATTCGTTCCAATCAGTTTTTAAGGACTTTATATATGAAAGACACAAAAAATCATCTAAAAAACTGAAAATTTCAATTTGACCGTCCATGATCGTACAATACAATCGAAGATCGTACGTATGAATAGTTCAAAATTTGCTCGCACGATCCAGTACAAACCAATTTCTTACTCTTATTGACCTGTGTATGTTCTGACAACGTATAGTACGATCAATTAAAAAATGAACAGATTTGTCCAGTACTATTCAGTACAAACCGATTTCGTACACTGGATAACGTACTGTATGAATCCCATATTGTACAGTACGATATGTTTTAATCAAACCATGTTTCATTTGGTATGAAAATGGACGAGTCCATTTCGTACTCTGGAAGTTGTTTGTACGATCCTAGGATCGTACAGTACGAACAATTCAAAAAAAATTTACTTGTTCGTATGGACGAAAAGATATTCAACCATTTCGTACTCTGGACGTCATCTGTGCGAACCTAAGATCGTACAATATTAACAATTTAGAAAAAAAATAGGAGTTTGTTGGGACGAACTTGTATGTTTCTATTTCGTACTCTACACGTCATCTGTACGAAGGTAACTTCGTACAATACGAACAAGACTTAGATTTTTTTTTGACATGGTTTGATTAACTGCTTTATGGAGGAACGTTCAGGTGAAATCATCCCGTACGATCCAAAATCATACAGTACGATTTGTTTTTAAAAATTACAAATTTTTACACTCTCCCAGTGTGTGTGTGCACGGTTATCTAATTACAATCACACTCTGTCAGACTCAAGAAAAGTATACAAAGTACAAACTTCAAATGCAATTAATCCTAGTCTAATCTATCTTGAAGTCTTCAACTGTCTAGAATATGATTTCCCTGAAACGTTAGTATACACAAACAACAAAAGTAATATTTTCAATATATGTTAGGAGAAATATTAATCAATACAATAATATTTTGGAATCATAAAAAAATACATGATATGAAAACATAGTTATGAAAACTAAGTTGTTATGAAAACATAGCAACATTATCCTAGTGGCCATGTCTCTTGGGTGTTTTAAGCAGTGCCTGCAAGCAAATAATATTAGAATAATCATGACTTATTTTATCCCTTCTTGAACATGGCCACTTGTAAGGACAAAAAAAAAGATATATATATGATACACAATGCAGATAATCTAATAATCATCACACCAAATCATCAAACACATGCGCAGAAAAAAAATCATAATCCTAACATGCATAAGGGCTGTACACCTAATTGTGTGAGGCTTGTGTGACATGTCACACTATGAAAGGTATTTGATTGTATTTTGGAATGAAGATATTTAATCTTAAACTAAGGGTGATTACATTTTAAGTTTATGAATTAAAGATTTATATGACATTTAGAGGTTTCATATTTAAAAGGTTTATGAATAACTTATAAAGTAATCATTGCTTATTTTAGGCAAACCTGTTATTTATGAGTCCTAAGATATAATGATGCAACTATTTACCTTTTAGGGTGGACTGATTGTTCGTTGTATCAAAGGGACTTGGGTGATTTTCTTAAATGTTTTAGAGTTCTCTTAATATTTGGATAAGAGAGAAATGTCTATCTAATAGGAAAAGGTAGACATGCCTATGAG